GCTTTTTAAGCAGTATTTTGAGAGTTATGTTTGTTTGTTTGTTTGTTTGTTTGTTTGTTTATTTACATGAATTGGCTTCCCACCTCCAGGGGACTCATGAGCAGCATACAAAACTAATAAAACAACTAAGACATTAAATCAACAGGTAGCGTAGACTTACATGCCCTAATAACATAAACCACAAAACAGAAAGTGGCCCCTGAGCAAATAATAAACTTCAATCTCAGGAAAAAGGGTGCCATCCTTACCTCTGTTCCAGAGGCTGAAGGCTGCAGGAAGGCATGCTTCCTAGATCCCCACAAAATGTCAGGGTTTACTGAAGAGAACCTGGACTACACCTATTCTGCTGGAAATACTGATGGGGCAGAAAAGAGATAAATGGTCTCTCAGATGTTCAGGCCCTATGCCATTCAGGGCCTTATAGGTATAGCACCTTGAATTGCACTCAGAAGGTAACCAGTATAGCCTACATAGCAGTGACGACACATGACTACACCGAGAGACGCCCGTAACTGCTTACACTGTTGCATTTTGAACCAGCTGTAGCCTCTTAGTGCTCTTCAAATGGAAGTTGTGTCCTAATAATATAGAACATTTATATTCCCTGGAGTCATCTTGGCTCTTAAGGTCTTCTAGGGGTCTTTTTTTTTTTTAGCAATAAAGCTTGTTATATTTCTCAAAGAAAAAACATCTCCTTCTATTAATAGAAGACCTAAAGAAAGATGGCCTGATTTTTGTGGTCCGAGGGATTACAGCCTAGTAAATGAGGAAGCAATAGATTCTTGCAATGGAATTGGTATTTATGTAGGTTATTGTTTTGCTATTTATTTTTATTCTCTCTCTTTTTGTGTGTGTGCCTTTGAGTCAGTGTTGACTCCTGGCAACTGTCTTGACAAGTACCAGCAATTTTATTGGCAAAATTTCAGAAGTGGTTTGCCATTGTCTCCTTCCAAAGCCCGAGAAAGCATAAGGTCATCCAGCTGGTTTTGTGCCTAAGTTAGGACTACAATTTTTGCTTTAAAAAGTTAGGTGTATCAAGCCCTGATAAGTTAGCATCCTACTTCTTTGAACATAACAAAATCATCTTGCTACCAATGGAATTATGTTCTCCCTGCCCTCAGATCATATTAAAATAGTTGCCTGATGCTCAACAACTGGATGTTTTTCAACTCCTCCAAAAGGGGAGAAAGGCAAATTAGTTTTACATTTGAACGTCACAGTACACACACACACACACACAAATTAGTTTTACATTTGAACGTCAAAACACACACACACACACACACATATATATATATAAGCCAAACACCACTCACTCATCACGAGATGTCCAGAACCATAAAGCCTACAAACTTGAAATGTGGCACATATTCTTCTTGGGCATCTAGGTGCTCGCTGAGAAAGGATTTTTCAAAATAACCATCAAATCATTAGTATTCCTTATACAGTATTAACATGCTCTGATGATAAGGAGTTTTCTTCCTCTCCCTACCTGAAATGAATTATGTTCCAA